TCCAAGGTTAAATAACATATTATTACACGAATATAAAAACATAGTTATTGATCAGTTTAACACGATGCGTCTTCGGAATGTTGTTATTTCTTGTTTGAAAATAAAGAAATATATCATAATTGTCATGTAAATGTAAATCTAATTAAAAAATCAGCATTTTATTTTTAACTTGCTTATTTCATTACAATTTTAATAATTTATTATATTGATATATTGAAGATTCAATTTATTAAATACCAAAAAAAATGAAGTATCCATTCAAAAGTATTCATTTCCTGTAAATCTAAAATACAAAGTGAAAGATCTTTAGAATATAGATTTTAAAAGTTAAAATAAAAATTAAAACAAAAATATTGATTGAGACTTGCTTATGTTAAAATAATTTAATCGAATAATGAACAAGTCAGTAATATCACAGAAATTAAAGACATCTCATTCTATTTCGCTTCATCCAATAAGGCCAACTTAAATTGCTTATAACTTAATAAACAATTCATATTTTTATTCTATTCATATTTTTGCGTTTGTTTTGATTTCTAGTATTCATTTCATATGTTTCAACATCTACATATATACATACCAACATTACAGTTAAATAATTTTTATTATTTAATAATGAAAGCAATTTTTAATTTTCAGCGTTTAAATCGACTGAGAATACCGATAAACATGGCTGCGCAAACGTCTCATTTGGAGGCTATCCAAGCGCTACCTGGCGACACACCCGGCGAGAAGTACAAATGGATAAGTGATCTAATAAAAGAACGATTGTCCGAGTCGAACAGCCTGGAAGAGATGATCGAATCCGAGAAGATTCCCAGGCCGCTCGTATCTTTTGTTCAAATACACGCAGCTATGATGTTGAACAAAAAGAATCCAAATGATCAGAGCACTTATGCGGCTATAGCGGAGGCTCTCAAATCCAGAGACGAAATAATCGTGAATAAAGCGTTACAAGCGAACAATTTCTTCAATGGAACCAACGAATATATAACTAATGTTCAGTACTTTTTCAACTACCTCTTTCCATACGTTTCTTTAAACACCAGAACGCGAATCATCAATGTTTTAGCCTCTCGACTGGCGTCCAAGAATCCTGCCCTGGCCGAAGAATTCTTCAAGGCAGTGGCTTCGTTTTACGGACTGAAACAAGCGTTGCCGTTGCTACCAGCTTGTAGCGAGTCTTTCATGTACAACATTATCATAGAGAAAAGAATCGTTCTTAGTCGGAAGCTGATCAAGCAGATCTTCCGCAAGAATCCGGATTTCATTGTTCGATATTTTAAACTGAGCGAGCAGAACATGGATCCCTGCGAGAGGCGTCTCCACCCGATAAATATTTACAAGTTCAGCGACTTCCTGCCCAAATTGATCAAGACGAGATTGGACTCGTTCGTGGAATTGTACGAGATGTTCGAGCCGAGGGTAACTCTGAGCAATCTGTGCGCAGAGGCGTTTCTGAAAAACGGCAAGGAACATTTGCAGCAAAAGCCCAAGCTGTATATCGAGATTCTTCCGTTGAAAAGAATCAGTAATAGCTGCATGGAGATCATATTCCCGAAATTATTCCCCACGAACATCGATAACTTCGAAACGGACAGCATGTTGCGTTACTTGGAGTACTATCGACAGGATAAAAAGCTCGATTTCTTCTTGAAATCTTACAAACAAGTATACGGTAAGAATATCCTCGATGATTCGAGTAAAGTAACGGCGACGTTGATGAAAATGTTACCAGTCAAGGAACGAATCAAGCAAGCGAGAATCAAATTGCAAAGAGACAACTCGGACGAGAGGATGGATTATACAATATGTTGGAAATGTTATTTGCCCGTCAACGAATCGATACCACAGTTGAAGGAACAGATAAATACTACCTCGGAAATGGAGTATAGATCGGCGCTAGTGTGCAAGATGATATATTCGTGCAAGGTGAACAACGATGACCAAGCTCTCTTAGAGACTATGATGTACATCAAGATCAGGCACAAGAACGAGCAAGGTTTGTTCCTGATGCAAGTGTTCGAGACATTGCTCAAGCTTTACGATCTTCCCCAAATGGGTGAGAATTTCTGGTCGATCTTGATGGATATGATCATGCGCGCCCACGTAAAGGGGGATCTGAATATCAGAAACACTACCGGCGTGAGAATAGTGGAGGCTGCCATCCATTATAAAATTCTTCAATCCCAACCCATCTATCAGATGATCGAAATATTTATGGAGTTAAAGATGATGAGCTACATGGACAACTGGAACATTCTTGAGAAGTATTCCGAGCACGAAAGAACGTGTTTGGAGATTTGTATAACGATAGCTTCGCAGAAATACGATTACGACGAGCAACCCTGGAAACAGAACAAAGTCGAGATCGTGTACAATCTGTGCTCCTCCATCTATCATTTCAACGATACTCACGTGAACAAAACCTATCGCGTGGAGCGCATGTCGGTCAAGAACTATCCCTGGCTGATGGAAAAAGTCAAGGAAATTTTGTCCGCGAATGACGAGAGGCGTAATCAATACGTTACCGACAACCTGAAACGTATATTGATGAAACACGAGCAAGATTTGTACGAAAGTTTGGTGTTCGAAGAGATCGCCAACGTGAGCAAAGGGGAGGCGTTGGAGGTTCTGAAAAGAAACCCAGAAAAGATTCTGGCTCATTGGAAGGAATATCTGGACGGATGTCAGGACATCGCGTACACGGAGCACACGATGAGATTCCTCAAGGCTTCGCGCTGGTACAACGAGATCCCGATCAAGTTCGTCGAGCAATCTCTCCAGGATTTGGCGAAGAGGAAGAAAGTTTGCAAGATCTTGGTGAATCTCGTCGACGGCGACACGTTCTCGAAAATCATCGAGCCGTTCATCCCAACTGACAAATCGATAGACATACAAAACGAAGAGGCGAAGACTAATTACGAATTGGTCAAGCACATCATCCATTGCATGATACTCGCGAATCCACCGGTCTCCCTCACTCTTTTAACCAGACTCTTCGAGGGAGACTACTTGTCGGTCGCTCTGGCAGCTCTGATAAATGTTTGCAGACGAACGAACGCAATGGACACGATATCGTTCGCCAGAACGTTAGCCAGTCAGAGGGTGTCCGTTCGGAAACACGGAATAAGATTGATGCATATGCTCGCGCCTCGCGATCAATTAATCAACTTCCTTCAAGCGCAGTGGGAGATCGAGGAGAATCACTCGATACGGGAAGTCTTGTTCTCCAAGAGTATGGAATTGTTCAGCGATGATCCGGAATCGGTCACGTGGTCTCACCTCGCTTACTTGATCTCCATGCTCACGCCGAAGGACGAGCACTTGCTCTCCGACGCGTTGTCACTGATAAAATCGACCCCCAACGAGTACGTGGCCGATTTCATGAAGCTGGCCCTCTACACGATCGACAAATTCGCGGAGGCGGACGACATCGGGAAAGGAAAGATCACGCATTACACCAAGTCATTCTTGAACTCCATAGACGCGGGCATTTGCAATCTTCTGTCTGAAGATTTTTTCGAACAGCTCGTACGAAGGTTCTTCTTCCACCAAGATTCTGGGATCTCGAATTGCGCCGTTAGGTACATAGTCGGCAGTATGTTGCGCCTACCCGTGGATAAATTCGACAGTCTGATGAAAATTATGTGCAACGTGTTGAAAGAGGTTGTGAAGAGCGGTTGGGGCGTGGCACACCCCGATAATCCTTGTTTCTATCCGGTGAACGAGGTTGTGTGCCGGTTCATCGACGACGTTGTGCATTATTCGTACTCGTTTCACCCTTCCGCAATTAAGTATCAACTGATCGACGGGATTCTGTCCACCTTCCTCGTCGTCCTTACCCCCCAAACGGACACGATGTCGTATCTGATGCTGGTATTCGCCCGAGAACAAATAACCTCGAAAACGCCCAAAGAGTTCGGGATGAATCTGGGCCAAAGGATTATCGAGTTGATCGAGATGTTCTCGATTCTCTTCATCTTTTACATGACTGATATTTTATGTAACATGCTGGGCGAGGTGAACTTATTCCAGGAGTACAATAATAATTACGATACGATTGATATAAAATTGGAAGTGATAGAGGGCCTGATAGAGATCGGATCGACCGAGGCTGGTATTGTTGCTGCGAAATTATCGGGCACCATCACGTTGGACGAATGTTCGGAGAGATACGACGCTCTGATGACCAAGTTGTCCAAATATGATGATCCTGTGATCAGGGGTATCGTCTGTTCTATTATTAATAGAAAAAAGTTCTAGGGTTAATAGAAAAGATTTGCAATTGGATTTATGAAAAATTGGAAAGAAGATAATCGATGAATTGATCGCTAATGTTGATCGTTGATTATCACTTAACACTTCGTGTTATCGAGGAATTCGATCATGGTTTCTTAATCATGCGTATACCTCTTCTGCTATGGAATAGTTGGGAGAGAAGAAAAATGACGAACAAACAAAGGGTGTTCGATGAACGAGGCGTCTTGAACGATTGAACTTTGTCGTCAGTGAGAGAGTTGGAATAATATGACGCACAATTTGAGAGATTCGATAAAGAATTGTCGAATCGTGGAGATTTATTTTATCGTCAGATATATATTTTTATATTTTGCATATGATTTACATCGCGCTCAAAGAAAATAACATTTTAATCCGGAACATGATACATGGTGCATTTAATTATGCATTCAATATTGTTCATACATATAAGGTATGCAATAAAATATTGTGCAAAGATCGAAGCGTTATCCTCTTTCTCTATTTTATTCTATTGTATAAGAATTATATTTTATTATATCTTCATTTTACAACATGACGAATTGTTGTTAACATTTTTTCCTCGCATCATCCTTCCTTTACATCTAAATCTAATCTATTTTCATTGAAAATTATTATTTTTTCGTTTCTATTTTACATTCTACTCTATTTTTATAGAAAGTTAAATCGTCGAAACGTACGTACGTATGGGAAAAATTAAAAAGGAAAAAATAACTTACAAGAAGCGTCGAAACCAGTGATGAAATTTGGGCAAGGGGCGTATGCAGTGGCCCCTGCTGGAGTATTAGGCCAGCAAGACCATCCGTCAAAGATCAACCGACAGTATGGCTCTAAAAAATAGAGAATATATTGATACATAAATTAGGGAAGATTAATTATGATTAATTCTCTTGTGAATTAATTTACTTTCATCATTAAAAAATATATCGATTTTTTAATCTTTTTTAATAATAATTATACATGAAAAATATCTTAATCAATATTCAACGCACAAAATTAATGTGAATTTTTGATAATCTCTTCGTGGAAGACATACATTTCGAAACATACATGGAACACGAATGTAAAAGAGGGGCATATATTTATTTTCACGTACAGAAAAATATTAAGTGAAATTATAAGATTTAGAAAAATTGTATTATATAATTATATCTAATCTAACTAATGAATTCAATTTTAAAATAGTGAAAACATTAATTTCATTTAATTTTACAATAAGTATTCAAATTATCACGAGCAAAATTCAAAATTTGGATTAATAACAATTTGAACAATAATTATAAAATATTTTTTTAAATTATTCATTTATTCTAATTCATTGTATAATTAATAATATTTTGATATAATATACTCTTCAATTCTTAATTTAATTCTGTATGATAATATTCGTACATTAAATGTTATATTAATAATTGAAGAATATTGATGAAATTAAATATCAATATCACTCATTTTGGAATTAATTCCAAATAAATGATTGTTAATATAAATCAATAATCAATTCCTTTAACAAAAATAGATAATATAAATTTTGCAATGGAAAGTCATGTATTTTCAAGTAAATTGAATATTATAAATTCATATTCATATGCCGGATTAAATGTAAATATCTAAATTATAGATATGCACACGTGGGAATGAAACACGTAATTCAACAAAATATTAAAAATACTTATTATTTATTGATCAGAAAGAATCTTACATTTTAAAATTAATAAAAATGAAATAAAATTTTATTTTTTTTTTCAGAATGTTGTTGAAAATAGATGAAAGATAATATTAAAAATTTTAAATCTGAAAAAAATTAAAAACCTGATGATTTTTTTTCTTTTTCCGTTTTTCTTGAATAAACAAATACACATAAAAAAGGAATTATAAGTTTCTAATTAAATTATAGACGATTAGAACTAAAGTTGCAACCAGTGTTTGAAGAATTAGTGTTTGAAACAAGTTCAAGAACAGAGGAACGGAGAATTCTTTCAATCTGGGAAAGAATTTTTTTCACAGAGATTCAATCAAAATCCCCGAATGACGAATCCTTCTTTCTACGATCACTATTTGAATAAAATGGAAACAGAAGTTTGGTTGGCTTCCTCTGACAAACAAATCTTTGATTCAAGCTTTGAAAACTTTTCTCTCTTTCAAAGAATTTTACGTCACGAATTTTTTTTTTATGGTACGTAAAATCTTCGCTTTTCATCTTTTTAAAGCGAAAATAAAAAAAATTTTATTTTTTTTCTCTACTATATTTTCATCTCTATCAGGCTACTATAAAATAGAACAATTTTAAACAAATATCATTGCAATGTTTAGCAAAAATTTCAACGAGGATATTCCGAGTTAATGGGCCATGTGGAATTCAAAGTAAACCTATCTATCTTTCGAATACACAACAAGTCACTATTTACATGGATAGCTAACTCATCCTTTGTCAAACTTTTCGCTCATTAACTCGGAACATTAGTTGGCCATGTTCTCATGGCGAACAACATGAATCAGTGGCAACGTATACACAGTGATGACACATATTCTTGATTAATGTCAGCTACTCTGCTTGAAATTTAAATCGTGTGATATCTTCGATGCACCTTCTTCGAGAAAATGCTACGAAGCTTTCACATTGCTTACGAAGTAATTAACGTGACCAAGAAAACCTATCGTTTTGGATCATATAACATTGATTTCAATAAGAATAAAAAGTAACAATTGGCCTTCCAGGACTAGGGAATTTATTACTTCATGGGCCTAATGATTCCTATTATCTTTCAATGTTATAATTGAAAAGAATGTTTCAATTTTATTTATATTATACCTTAGATGCAAAAAGTTTCAACTTTTTTTTTACATTTTACTTATATTTTGCAAAATTGTGCGAATTTCATTTATTTTATTGTGTATATATTATCTTATAAAAATTATTGCCTTAATAATAATATATATTTTTTGCCAATTATTACCAATTTATCATGGAAATGATCATGTTATCCTATGAATTTATATTTGAACTAAATAATATTTGCCGCATTTAAGGCAAATAAGATAGTATTAACATGTTATAATGGACAAAGTTATTTTAAATATTTTATGCAATAGAATAGTTAAAAATATCATATATAACAGTAGATAGAGAAACAATAATATGATAAGATATAAAAGCACAATAAAATGGAATATTTAAAATGAATATAATAATTCATAATTTGCATTTAAATAGCGCACTACGTCAGAGAATAAATAAATAATATAAATACCGTGTGACGGTAATAAGCATGATAAATTAGAACAATTATAAATAAAATAATATAATACAATAAATAAAATATAAAAAGAAATATTAAGTTGTTTTGGAAATATAATATTAGAAAAATAATATTTATTAATACTGGTATATTAATCTTGAATAAAAATTTGACAAATATTATATGATTGAATTTGATAAATATTATTGATTTATGAAACAGAGTTTTGAAATTTTATTGATAATTTGTTAATAATAAATAATCATACATTTATCAATTTATTGTCTTTTTAATATAATAATATAGATCCATTAAAGAAGAATAATATATTATAAAATATAATAAAATAAATAAAAATATTTAAATATGTGTTAAATTAAAAAAATTTTCCATCTAAATAAATTATTCATTTTTTTTTTTAAATACACATGTTAAGAAAAAATAAAAATTGATCTTTATAAACATGAATGTATTTACATGATACATTTATTTTCATTATCTTTCATTTTTAATCGTTTATTAAAAAAAAGCGGAAGTCATTAAAGTATGATTATCTTTTTTTTTTTCAAATAATTTTTTTATAGCAATTTATTATTGGAATACATGTATTCACCACGACTATGTGCATTAACCGAACAATCGATTTTTCTAACAGACCTCATTTTCGAGAGGACCTTAGAGGATACTAATTAAATGATGAAATCATGTTACGAAACAACTATTCGTAGACATTGTTCTATGAATTTCGTTCATTTTATTTTTATATTTAAATAGATAAAAATTTATGAATATAATATTATGTTATAAATATAATACTTTTATTTTGACATTGATATTTATTCCGATATTTATTCATATACAAAAAAAAATAAAATTTAAATTTTTAAAATTTCAATTATACAAATTCTTATTAAATATTCAAATAATACTATAACTTTAAAGTTTTAAGTTTTTAAATATTTTATATATTTCAATTGTTGAATTTGTGAAAGTTTTCAAAATTTTAATATGTAGTACTTTCTTTAAAAATTTCAATTTTTCTCTTATTAATAGAAAAGTTATTAAAATATTCTATCGACAGAAAAACAATTTTTTAATCAATATAATAAGAGATATCGACTCAAATATAATACAATACACAGAAGCTCGATCTTTGTCTATTTTTACCCATATATATTCCTCCATTTCTCTGAAAAGCAATAATCCACAAGATTGTCCGCAGAATCCATACTTCTAAGCTACCTTCATATATCCACAAGTCGGTCAACATGCAGTCATTTTACTTGGTCACGTTATTGTACATTCTATTTCAAAATAACGAACCATTAAAACCAATAAAAGACGTATCTCTGAAATGATGATCCTAACTTGAGACTCCACTCGACTTTGTCTCAGAAAGTGAATTATTATTCCGTATGCTGCTACGAATTTTCAAGGTAATTGTTATCTCTCTTTTTTTCTTCTTTCATTGATTCATTTATGAATAGAATAATAATTATATTAAAATAAAATCTTATTTATATAAAATCTTATTAATTGTAATAGTTAATATTATTAATAAAAAAATTTTGAAAGAAAAAAGCAATTAAATAAGATGCAATTGTTAATAATTTTTGCTCGAAAAAAATTTATTTTTGTTTGTTTTTGAGATATTAACTACTTAACGTGTATTTATAAATTAAACAATTTGCATCGTAAATTATGAAATATTATTTATCTAATAAATATTATTTACACAAAGATTTCCTATTTTCTGAGAAGGAAAGAAAATTATCTTTATAAATTATGTTGATAAGATGCCGTAATAACATGCATCTTTAAGTAATAGATTGTGATTTTATTTTATTTTGTTCTCACAAGATTATTAGAAATTTTTAATTGATATAATGATCGATAATTATTTTAATAACTTAAAATTATTCTAATAACTCTATATATACATATAGATATATATATATATATAATTATATAAATTATATATATAATTATAATTATAATTATTCTAATAACTCTAACTTATAATTATACAATAACTCTATACACACACACACACACACACACACATATATATATATATTAAAATTTTTTAAAAGCTCCATATATTTTATTCTCAAGGTCCTGAGCTTGCTCAGCCGTCCCTGAACTGTAGCACTTATCTTGATGCGTCAACATAAATTATTTAAATGGTTCCCCAAGAAGTTAAATGATAGAAACGATTATTCCACAGTCTTTAATATTTACTTGTGTATGAAACACGAAAATCGAGAAATTTTTCTTTTTAGATTGATTTTTTTTAAATTCAATGCATTGAACTTCTCGGGATGAAAAATATTTACGTACGCGTTATCATATCAGTAAAAGAAAAGATAAAAGATACATTTTAATTTATTTAATAAATTTCAATATTGTGATAAGTGTGAAATCTGAAATTAAACATCGTTAATAAAATCTAAAATCAATGTGGGACGTGCGTCTAATTTAATGAGATTTAATCATAAAGAAGATTAATAAGAATAAAAAAAGTGTTGTAATAAATTATATAATAATTATAAATCGAGTATGTATTTTTTTACTTCTGTCTGTATGTAAAATGAAGTGAGTTTATAAATAGAAATCATACAGTTTAATTCGATGCGATTCTAAATTTTTTCGAATTTTCAAAGTTCAACAATTTTTAAAGTTTTGAAAAATTGAATTTTCAACGTATAAAAAGAAGTGAACGGGATTAAAATTAAAAATCAAGCTTAAAAATTGAATATGTTTTTCAAATGGTTTTAATAATCATCGATCAAATATCTTTTTTGCAATTAAGAAAATGAGATCCTTAAAAGTTGAACATGTTTTTCAAATGCTTTTAGTGATCGGTCGAATATTTTTTTCTTTTTTTGCAGATATGAAAATAAGAAAATGAGGTGTCAAAAAGTATTATTGTTTTCCCTAATATTAGCTCTTTTCACACATATAAACGATGCGTATAGAATTTTGTGCCTCTTCCCGTACAACGGAAAAAGTCATTTTATAATGTTCGAGGCCCTGTGCAAGGGACTAGCGAATAAAGGACATCAAATCGACATGATCAGTCATTTTCCATTGAAGAAACCGATTCCTAATTACACGGACATTATTGATTTAAATGGAACGAGGAAAGCTATAGTGAGCAGTTTCACCATTGATTTTGCCAAACTATTGGACCGATCACTCGTGTATTATCTGGCTACAGATTTTGGCACTTCTTTGTGCCACTTAATGGGAAACGAAAAGATGCAAAAATTCATTAAAAACCCGCCCAACGATCCACCTTACGATCTCATAATTACAGAGGTAAATTATTGATTATAATTAATTGTAATTTAAAAATTAACGGAAATAATAATTCTAAATATAGACAGGAATTTTTTTTCTAATTAATTATTATTTTTTGAAAAAATTCTTCAATATTTCAAGTATATTTCTATAAAATATGATATAGAATTAAATATGATCTTGTTATTCGCGTTACTATTTGCGATCTAACGTTTTATTTATCTATGTTTATAAAAAATTGTTTTTTAATGTCAAATATCTAAGATTATTAAAAAAGAATAAATTAATAAATTTAATCAATAATCAGAGATTTTATATTAATGCAATTAACATTAAAAATAACATTATAAACTTCTACTTAGAAAATTGCAAAATTGTAAAGATAAGATTTTCTAATAAAAAATATTTGATTATGATTACAATGTTTATATAATATTGTGAAACATGAAAATGTTTGAACACGTACATTTCTGTAATATTTTAATACACATATTCAAATATATTAATGTATAGCCAAGTAAAATATAATTTTTTAATTTTAAATATTATTTAATGCAATTTATTAATTCCGAATTATTATAGATATTCATTTTGAAAATTTATTTATTTATCACGATTTTAAATGAATTTATTTTTCAATTTTTTTCTATCTAGATATCGTTATATGATAATAACGTTATATACTTTATTTCACAATTCAATCAAAAAAACATTAAACATTTTATAATTGCTTTGAAAATTGATAATGCATCGATAACAATATTAATAACGAATGACTCACGTTTATTAATTATTTATATATATATTATGTATAAAATAAAATTTATATAATTTATTTTTTATCACGTGCATTCGTAATTAGCATTAATTTTTGTAATGTAAAAAAATCGATATAAAATATGAGTAATATAGGAACCATTGTTCAAGCATTGTTGCATAATTTTTTAATCGTTGCACGATATTTAATTGGAACATGCATTTAATGATATTGAACATTTTTTTTTTTTAATGGAAAATTATTTTTCAACGAGAAGAAACGTATACGTAAAATTAATTTTAATCATTCAAAAATTATAATGATAATTAATATTTCTTTTATATTACGATTTCTATATTATAATTTTCAACTCTGATGAATCATACATATACTTTCCTTTCTTTTCAGTATTTTGGTTCACCGTGTTATTTGGGATTTGGTTATCTGTTGAACGTGCCAGTGGCTATCGCAGTATCGTTTCTGGAAATGCCCTATGTCGACAGCTTTATGGGAAGCCCATTGAATTATGGCTTCTTTTCGGGGCACTACAACGATAATCCTGTAGTGGACACGTTTCTCGATCGTCTGTGGAATTTCATCGTTAATTACAAGGAAGAGCAAAAATTTTACTATTACACGAGCGATCAAACCGATATGATGAGAAAATACCTAGGTTTGCCGAATATACCTGACATCAGAGAATTGGAAAGAAACGTGAGCCTTGCTATAGTGAACTCACATCACAGTTATCACGGGATCAGAGCGGTCACGCCAGCTATCGTCGAAGTTGGTGGAATACATATCGTTGAATCCGATCAGAAAGTAAATCCGGTAAGATTTTAGAAAGTTTTTTGCTTAATCATTTTATGAGAATTTTGAAATTCTTACTCGCTCTCTGTGGATTTTCCTCATGGAAAGATCTCGTTTTTTTTTTTTTTTATTATAAATATTGCTACTTTTATAATTTTCTTCTGAAAATTTTTTCTAAACCAATCGTTCGTAATTGAATCATATTATTTTCATTTTTTTTTTTATTCCAAAAAATACTCCAAGCAATTAGATTTTGAAAATCTCTCTAGTAAAGGGAAACAATATGAAATTGTTTCTCGTTTTATAGGAATTGAAGGAATGGTTGGATTCAGCAAATCACGGATTAGTGTATTTCTCAATGGGCTCCATATTGGCCATCGAAGAGATGTCAAAAGAGATGGTGTCAATCTTTTACCACTCGTTCGCGAAAATATCACCAATGAAAGTGTTGATAAGATGCGCCAATTCAACCAAGTTACCTCCTGGCCTGCCCAGTAACGCGATAACGTTCCCTTGGATCCCTCAGATTGCTGTTTTAAGTGAGTGAATCGCATATATATTTTTCTTTTTTAGAAAAAGAAAAAAAGAAAACGTAACCGGATATCATACAATTTATTAATTCAGAGTTTTGTTGTTCTTTAAACGAATATCATCAAGAATAATTAAAAGAAGTTGAGGAGAAGTAATAAAAGCAGTTTCAAAGGAATTTTTTTAATATAAGGAAAATCGTAAAAGCAAGATCCAAAGAAAGTTAGAGAGAGCAGCGCGTAATTTATGGATCATATTGGATTAAAAGATCTTATTTCTCGCAGGACATAAAAATACACGAGTATTCATAACGCATGGAGGCTTCGGAGGAACTCAGGAAGCCATTTATTACGGGGTCCCTATGATAGGAATACCTGTATTCTCTGACCAAAGAAAGAACATCTGGGCTTTGGCCCAGAAAAATATGGCTGTTGCGATAGATATCGAGAACATCAACGAGGATGTCTTAAATGCTGCTTTAGATGCTGTTTTGCATGACCCTAAATACAGGTAAAATATCCTTGAATAACCCAGATATAGAAAGTTAAAAAGTCATTATGTATTTAAGTATTGTGATCATAATAATTACCAAATAACATGCTGAATCATAGTACGATTTTATTCTTATTTACAATTTTATTAAAAAGATTAATTGTTCAATAGATTGCTTTCACGTGATTATATTTATCACGATGATTTTGCATAATAATATATCGAACTTTTAAGTTTAAATATTTTACGTATGAATAAATTATCTTCTTACTGAGATAAAACGAGATAATTATATTATAAAGATATATTATATATATATATATATATATTCTCGTAATTTTGCGATTATTAAAATTATATTAAAAGATTTAACTTTATCTTACGTTTTTATATTGCATTTCATCGATTCTCAAACTTTTCCTAAAAACACAATAAATAATATTTAAAATATTATATTGTAATAGAAGATTCATTTTTCTAAAAGGAAATATTAAATTATTACAATTCCTTTACAAAAAAAATAAATAAATAAAACAACATAAGCCAAGTGTTAATATCTACGTAAGAAACATATTGATAATATTATTATTATTAAAATAACACAACACTTTATTTAAATTGTTCTATATAATATTTATTTGTCTATTTAAATTGCTCAAACGATAATAATATTAAAAGTAAAATTTTATTCAGTACATTGTATAAATTACGTATTATCAGTGACGATAATAGTGACATTAAAATAAAATTGTACTAAAAGAATAAAATCCTGATAATGCTATCAAACTATTGTAATTATATATCATATAATATTCATATTATATATTATATACAATTATCAATTTTACAACAGATAAAAAAATAATTTTCCTTTCTTTTTTTTTTTTTTTTTCTAGAGAATCTGCAAAAAAAGTATCAAAAATGTTCAAAGACCGGCCAATAAGCGCGATGGACACCGCCATTTATTGGATCGAGTATGTGATAAGAAATGGCCGGAAAGTTTGAGATCGCACGCGGTGGATCTACCCTGGTGGAAATTGTATCTGATCGATGTTTTCACCTTCTTAATCGCGTGTTTCATTCTAATGATTTATTTTCTCGTGACACTTTTGAAAATTTTATTTGCACATTTCCTTAAGATCGGAAATCAAACGAAAAGGAAAATGAACTGAGAGGAATTATGAAAAATATAAAATTAACAACTATAGGTTGACAAATAAAGAGGAGGTTATAAGTTGTTTCCTTCGAAAATTGTAAAATAAAATAAAATCATAATGAATGAAATGGTGCAAAAATTAGGAAGAATTTTTGAAAATTTCGATAATCTTATTAATAACAAGATAACGAGCTGTAATGATAAGAATTTATATTTTCAAAATTTATATTATTCAATAAATGAATAGGAAATAGATCGTAATGTAATTATATAGTGACATATAATTGTACAATAATAGTTACAAGGTTATAATAGTTAAAATGTTACAAGGGAATATCGTTATGTTAATAACTATAATAATTTGTTAATTATTAGTTTTCTCTCTTTTTTTTTTTACAATATTTACTTCGTATACATTCGCACATATACACAAATAATTATAATGAAACATATATGAAAATATATTTTTTAAACTTTAAATTATATAGTCTTTGATGGTATTAAATTTTTATTAAAAATTAAATTACTTCCTATTATTATTTTCATTTCCAATTGATCGACCTTTCAATCACTTCGTTTCTTAAATTCAAGTAATTCGCTTCTTTTCTTTCTAAACTCTTTTAACTTTAAAATTCTACCATATACATTATAGAAGTAATATATACTTGTATAAAATTATATTTCGTATACCCATTAATTTTACTGAAAAATGCAATAAATGCATGACAATGAAAAATAATTTGCCACTAAGTAACCTGACATTGATAAAATTGCAATATTTCATAGTTCCCCACAAGCATTCAAATAGATTATTCGACGATATTGGTTCGTATATAACGTTCGTATAAAAAAATATTCATAACATTTTCAAGTTTTTCTGTTTAATACCTTCACGAGTGCTTCAGTTCTGTTTAGTAATATTTATTAAAATATCTATCATTCAATTTATCATTTTGCAATCACAGACAAGATATTGCACGATACAATATCGTTAATATGAAGCAATGAAACGAACAATGGCCTCTTGTGTTTATTTACCAAGTTTATTTATCAAGATCGAGAATCGGTATTAATTCTTAGATCGACGAACGATATTCGAACTTGTGAAATACCTTACCTCATAGCTTTCGTATGCGTGATATTGTATGGCGAAATATTTCGTTGAATACTCTGTCGTGTCGCGAAATATCTCGTCCATAGATTCGTACGGATTTGTATGCATGCAATATCTCTTGGTAATTGCAAAACGATTATAATAAAATTATATATGTATATATATATAATCATTATTTAAAATTATTCAATATGCCATTTTATAAATGTAAAAAGTAAGCTTATATATTTGAGCGAAGGTTATCAATAAAGGTTATCACTCACAATTACGAATTATGAAATATTTAAAATTATGAAACATTTTTTAAATCCATCGTTCCATAATTGATAAATAAATGTAAAAGATTAAGTTTGTCTCAATTATATTTAATATTTTAAACGTGTAACATAAAAACAATTTTTCTCTACTCATCTCAATATTATAGCGATCCCAATCAGTGTAAAAGACTTGTTACAATGTATAAAGCTGTTACACTTACTTCATTCTTCACTTCTAGAAAACCTAGATTGGATATCAAGTGGGAAGAAGATATATAAGTACATACATTCGTGACAATAAATGGAAATTTTTGTTCTTCTTTAAAGGAAACTCGTGTGAATTTCTGTGAAAAAAAAGAAAAAGAAAAAAGAAATATATACCGTGTTTGTGGTACAATATACAACTTGGAACAGTCGTGTGTAATAATAATAATAATAATTTTGAATAAATTAAAAAAATCGAAGTGACTATGAAACTATCGTCAATAATATTTCTTTGCGCGATACTATCGGCATGTTGTTACGGATACCGGATATTAGGAGTGTTTCCTTTCAACGGAAAGAGCCATTTCATGATGTTCGAACAACTGATGAAGATTCTGGCGAAAAAGGGCCATCAAGTTGACGTGATCTCCACGTTCCCCTTGAAGAAACCGTATCCGAATTATACAGATCTTATTGTGCTTCCCGTATCTTCGTCATGGATAAACAATCTAACGTTTGACGAGATACAAAACTCGTTCTCCGTGTCACCCCCTTTAATCGTGGGACAGATAGCAGGGAATGTGATTTGCGAATATTTGAAATATCCGAAGATACAGGAATTAATACACAACCCGCCTAAAAACCCGCCTTACGACGCGATCATCTTGGAGGTATGAATTATAAGATGACACGAGAGAAAGAAAAATACAATGAGTCGGCTATTTGTGACGATTACGATAAAGTAGAAGTATAGTGTTATTACGAACAGTCAGGAAAAATAACGATGATGTTGCATTATCCTATAATATGATATTCATTTTCACGAATTTTAAAGAGTGTTAACACGTTCGAAGAGTAACGATTTTAGAATTAAAAATTAATTCAAAAGATGGTGTGCAAAGATGTGATGAGAAGATTCGTTTGTTATATAAATTAACGAACAATTGTGCTCGTTTATCACTCTCATCTAAAAATTAATTAATAACTCATCCATATTTTTGTACAGCAACTTTTGAATTTGTCTCTTATCTAGAATCAAAATCTCAATTCGTTGAAAAAAAAAATATTTCGTAATTTTATACAATTTTATCACAAATTGTTTTTAAACTCCTTTTTTTTTTTTAATTTATTACATAAACTGTCTGCTGTTTTAATACATCCTTGATAAAACTCAAACGTTCCCTTTGTTTAGAAACAGAATTTAGAAGAAATGCAACGGAATCAACGTATCTCAAAAATCGTTCTCGTTTTCAGATATTCGGCGCACACTGTTTCGGTATAATAGCCGACATCCTGAAAGTACCGATAATAGGGGTGAGCAGCTCTGTGCTCTACCCGTGGTCCTACGATTACATCGGGAGTCCTCACAATCTTGCATACGTGCCGCACAATTTACTTTCCTACTCGCAGAATATGAATTTCTGGCAGAGGATGTACAATTTTTTGGACAATCTTTACTCGATATGGATGTTCAACAGAGTGACGGCTGAGCAGACGAAGATTATAAGGAAATACGTTAAACCCGATTCGCGAGATATCAGAGATTTGGAGAGAAACATATCGATAATCCTGGTGAATTCGCATATATCGATAAATGGTATCAAGAACGTGAATCCGGCGCTCATCGAAGTCGGAGGATTGCATGTACACGATGACGAAACAGTAAAATTACCACCTGCAAGTATTTTTTCTTCTTCTACCTTCACTGTTGATGATGCATGAGCTATCTTTATATAGCTCGTGTTATATTGTAAGAAAGAGATCTAAGAAACTATTTAGAATTATTTTTTAAATAAAATAATAGACGAGAAAATGTTTAAAAGTTGAAAAAAAAATTGATTACAGAATCTGGAGAGATGGATGAACGAGAGCGAACACGGATTTATCTACTTCTCGTTCGGGACGATGGTGATGATCGAATCCTTCTCGATCGAGACGATTCGAATCTTTTACGAATCTATGAGGAAAATAGCGCCTGTTCGTGTGTTGATGAAAATAGCAAAACCGGACAAACTTCCGCCTGGTTTGCCGGAAAACGTCTATATTTTACCGTGGATACCGCAAATCAAAGTTCTCAGTGAGTTCGTTGTCTGTAAACAAGTTGCACACGAATGAGAAATAGAATCCCGAAGAAATGGAATTTTAAAATTTCGATCCATTAAGTTCGAGATGCTTTAAATATTTTTATTATCTATCGAGTCAAATTAAAGATCTGTTGCGTTTTTTGTCCAAAATTAATTTTTAATTTTTTGAATAACGGGTTAACTTTCCTATCTTGATTTTGAAAAATAAATAGATAATTTTTATTCCGTTAATTATTTCCAATAATTAATGAAATAAAATGGAATCGATTAGTATTTCTTTTTTTTTTCTGGTATTTTTCAGAGCATCCGAATATAAAAGCATTCATCACACACGGAGGTCTTATGGGAAGCCAAGAAGCTATTCATTACGGAGTGCCGATGATCGGTGTACCTTTGTTTGCCGATCAATTTATAAATATCGATAACTACGTTCGATTGAATATTGCAATTAAATTAAAAGTTGTAAGCCTAACTCAAGAAGAAATGGATCACGCCTTGAATGAAATTTTAAATAATCCTAAATACAAGTACGTATGCTTCTTTCATTTTTTTAAAGTTGTTTTCGATCGAACTTTATTAAAATTGATTTTCACCATAATCATTCAATTCGATCTAATTATTCGTTTCATAATTTTCCTCCTTTTTTTACATTCATAAAAGTCATATTACAATTACAGTAATAAAAGAATCTTCGCTTAATGTTGCGTTAACGAAATTACATCACCTTCACTCCAATTTACATCATTTACATCATTGAGTTTAAAGAACATTTCAAAACTTTATTAAATATTTATCTCGTCGTTATCTTTTTCATTTACGACGTACAAATTAAAAAAAATTGTAATTAAAATATATTTTAATATTGCTTGGTGCACGATTAATTGAAATATATATATATATATTCAATTCATATAAATGAATAAACATCCTAAATTATTATAAATAATAAAATGCAATCGTAAAAATCATAAAAAGATTCACAAGGAGAAAAACTATGGAATAACATTCCTATTTTTATATATCGTATTATCGTTTTTTGATATGAAAAATAAGATATTGTGCAACATGGAAAATTTTAATAAAAACTGAGTATTCACAATCATGAATTGTGAAATATTATTATCTCAACATATATTTGCCTTTCAGTAAAGCGGTGAAGGAACTTTCGAAGAAGTTTTTAGATCGACCGATGAGTTCCGCGGATACTGCAATTTACTGGATCGAATATATCATCAAATATGGATCAACTGTACTCAAATCACCCGCAATGGATCTAACGTGGTGGCAATTGGAACTATTAGACGTTTGCGGATTCCTCCTTTTAGTGGCGTTAGTAGTACTTTATCTTCTGACGATAGGATTGCAGTTCGTGTATCGTTTCGTGAATTCGAGTTTTATCGTGTCACAAAAAAAGAAAATATCTTAAGATCCTTCTAGAATTATTAGATCATTGAAATTATTTGTTTCTGTTTTAAATTTATAATTTTAATTATTCATCTTGCGATCGTCATTGTCCATTCGAAGGATTTTCAAATTTAATTAATTACTAGACGATTATTTTATTATTAAGAATTATTAAAATTAGAAATTGAATAATGGCACAATTGTTAAAATAGTTTTTAATGTCATGACACGCGATTATATTTAAAAATCGTAGAAAATAATAGAATACTTTAACAATTTAACTTTAACATAATAGTTTCAAGATTACGTATTAGATATTTTTTTTTTATTTATTGTGCATTTGTAATTGTTAATGCTTAAAATAAATAAAATAAATTATCTGCAAAATCTTACAAAATGTATTATAATCTTTTCTGAATTGCTTTCTGAAAAATTAAAATACATTCCATAATTTATTCCAAAAAGCAAAATAATACTTGGAGATTATTTATTCGTAATAATTTAAAATTAAAAATTTTTCTCACATTTAATCGATTAAATATATGATTGATTTTTGTCTCCGATATCATGTCAAACATGTTTTAACTTTTTACGGATTTTACGGAATGATGAAATTTCATGGAAGAACATATTATTTCTGTGCTTCTATATGTTTAATATTCTAATAATCTAATATTTGTAAAAAAAAGACGGTATCCATTATCTTTCGTTTATTTTAAAGTGATTATCTAATTTATATATGCATGTCGATATATGTACTAATTAAGACTTATTCTGAAAATTTGCAATATGAATTATCGAATTTGAAATTTCACGTTGCGAATCCCTTATTTCCACGAGATCCATTATATCGTTTTATCTAAATCGATCATATCTTACCGATATCTTTCGATCTTCTTTATATCTAATTAATTACATGGATTAGAATTATATCAGGAAAAAAGATAAATCGTTAAAAATTGTTTGATAAACAATTACATAACAAAATTAATTAAAAATATGTGCTCCATTTTATATATATATATATTTATTTAATTGCTATTCACTACTGAATGATAATCATAAATATAATTCGATTAATTCAGATAAATTCGAATGAAGTCGATTTAAAATGTAAATCGTGACTTGCAAACTGATACGAAAATTATACTTCATTTATCTGCAACTTCATTTATCTTATCCATGATGAAAATTCATTGATTTTATTCATCAAACGTGGATTCGATCAAATAGAAAAAAAAATAATATTAATAAATGACAACAAATGAAATTCTATCCTAATTGTTACACTTTTGTTTGCACTTTGTGTTTCGTGTCTTGAATAATAATATTAATTGAATAAAATTAATATAATTAAAATTTAATCATTAAAATTATTGTAATCATGATCCAATTAATAAATCAATTCGTTTTCCCGTCCGCTCAAATAATCCGTTGCACAAAAATTAACTACTACGTTACAAACAAATTAAAATTAATTCCAATTAAATTAAATAATAAAATAACTTAACATATCCAATTTAACACATCCCAATGTAACACAATTCCAAATTCTAATTATCTTTCAATATCTGATCCAGTCATTCGATTTATCAAATTAAGCATAATAATTTCACATGGAAGAATATTGAATTCTAAACTATCTCTCTTGCTCCAGGGAAAATGATATTCGGGTCAATTCTATATATTTCTCTCCGTTCTTCTTCTTCTTTTTCCTCCTCGTTCTTCGTGCTTCTCTCCGCAAAAAAGCGAGACCTGCTCGTGAGCCAAATAACATAGGAGGAGAGTCAGTATCCGTTAGAGTCATTTACCGCCATAAATTCCAAACCGTGAAACCGCAAATCGCGTTTAGATTGAGGTTTCCCGTTCGCACGATCAACTCGCGAGTCGCGTTTTCCGAGGACGTGGATCCATCGATCGGATCGATGGATGCCTCGAATATGGGTCGCGAGAAAAAGTCACCGATTTGTGACGCTATTTTTCCAGCAAAATTCCTGGCCGATCGGGCAGAAACATCGACACCGTTTCGTGTATGGAATTGGGGGAAAAAACGAAGGAGCGAATTTTCGAAACACGAAAATCGGAGGATGAAGAGAAGTAAGATAATAGAAATATTCGGGAATGAATGGATTTGGAGATAATTCAACTCGATTCTTTGTTTTATGATTTTTATGATTGAAGTACGGTGTTGTAATGACGAGTGAGTGGAATGAATGGAATTTAATTTTGGTTGGAATCGAATGATTCAATGATTTTTAAAATCTTTA